CATGCGTGTAAAAAAAAAAAAAATGCGGTTAGAGCTTAAAGATGGAACCGCGAAAACGGTGTTTCAAAATCTTCCCACTCTGAAAGCTTAATAAAAAAAAGATCGTTTACAGACCCCCGAAACGCCGGCTTCGTGTGGATGAGAGGCTGGTTTGGTGAAAAATTTGTGCGTTTAGGCCAGGGTTTGACTTCGTGTGGACGGAGCCTCAGACTATTACCTCCTGAGCTGTTGGTCTTTGCAGCTCCACTGGAATTACCAGGTGCTTCAGATAAAATGGATTTAGATGTTCCTAGTTTTCACTTTTTGTGTTTTAACTTTTCAAATCTGTTATGATCGATAAAACATCTTCCTACTATGTTTAAAGCTAGTGGCAATGGAAGTTTTTACCTATCTGTAACAGCCTTTAGTTTTTCAAACTTAATTAGTCTAATTGCTAACAAATTGCTCTGGGATTGGTTTCATCCCTAAACTAAAACAAAATGATCTCTGTATCATTTGTGCTTTTATTTATTTATTTTTTACTCTATTTTTCCTCAGAGAAGTGAGTAATAAAAGCACCAGTGTGGAGGAGAAAGCTTTTTCTTCCCCAACAAGTCACCGTCTGCCGTCTCATGAGCCACAGAGCCACAGGCACCGCCAAACAAACTGCACAACCAACCCCAGCGAGGAGAGCAACAGTCTCTACTCACTGTTTCAAGTTGTTCTAAAAAACAAGCCTTTCTGGATGTTTTCTCTCATCTCCAGCGGGAAGACACATGCAGCATGGTACCTTGCAGGAGCAGAGTCTTCCCTGGATCCTGCTCTAAGCTAGACAGAGTGAGTGAGCGTCATGCTGTATGTTCTTACTTTTTGCTTTTTTAGGAGAGGTTAAATGCTAATAAACAAGTGGGATGTCTTTATTTTCCAAGATGCACCTGGATGTTGATTTTTCTATTTTAAAGCGTTGAATTGAATAAAAAGAAGAAAAGTTTCTATAATGTGGTGTTTGAGAATAAATACTGAGAGCTGGCGTATGCTGAGATGTTTTTTCTACGCTGTCACAGTTTGAGAACATGCTGCTCTTAAGACAAACTCCAGCTACAGTTCATGTTCAGGGAAACCCCTGAAAAGCTCCACACTCTAAAATATGCTTTGCCTCAAAACACTTTTAAGAGTGCAGTTATCCCTATTGCACCCTTTTGTACCATACTTTTCCCTTCTATTCACTTTCAATTATAAGTAATAACCTTATAATCCTTTTGGAGGGTGTCAATCACTCCATGAAAGACCACTAAGACTAAAAGAGTCATAAAATCATATGTATTAATTGCCTGTAGTACTGGTTATTTGCTTTGTTGATTTCCAATAAGGCATCATCATCAAAATGAACAAAAGACAACTGATATAATAAATGGCTTTGTTTCATATATTTATTTAATACTTCTGGAACTAAAGCATTGAAGAACATCTTAATTTTATTATTTATATGATAAGAATCATAAAATGATGTAATCATTTTATTACCTCTCGAGTAACTTTGCCATTGTTGTCAAAATCATAGAGGGTAAAGGTCCACTCCTGTCTGTTGTCCTCCTCCAAAGACACAGCACACTCCAGCTCCTGAAAAAGCAGAGCACTAAGCTTGGTTTCATGCTGCATTTCTGTGAGTGTGCCGTTTTGTGCATGTCCTGCCACTGCCCCACTTTTACGTGCAGGGGGAAGTGATAATCGTCCTGCTCTGCGCTGACACTCACTTCAAACTGGAGCTGTTTCTGTTGCCCTGCAGGGGACCGGCTGTCCCTCTCCTGCATCTTCTCCTCCACACAGCAGATGTCTGTCTTCTCCGGGGGTAAAGCCACTGCAGCAACACACACACACATAGAAGTGAACCCACGCGCGGAAAGATAAAAGACAGAGCCTGAGGACAGAATCGGTGGGTGCAGCCTTAACCTGAGGACAAGTCGTCGCTTTCTAGTTTTACTTGTAAGCTCGTGCTTTCACATTTGGCGGCTTAAATAAAGATGTGGCACATCTCAACGTCTGCCTTTGAGCAAAAAAAATCTGTCTTTTTTCTCTAATTTTATTAGTGAATTTTATGAGCTGGGTTGCTCAGATGCACAGAAGTTGTAGTTGTTCACAGTGTTTGTGATCTTGCTCAAAGGCTGCAGAAAATCAAAGCAGATTTTGGTTCTTACCGTCAAAAAATATTTTGGTAAGCAATCGGAGCAAAACAAATCTAAGACATGGTGGGGGGTCAAGAGGAAACGTGTTTAGAAGTACAGAAATGTGATTCTTGAGCTTCTGAGATGCCTTTCTCAGCATTTAATTGAAAATTATGTTACCAGTGAAAATTGAATTATTTCTGAACATAAGACAGAAAAAAAAAAAAAAGATTATTCTACACTTCTTTTTTTTTTCAAATAATCTTGATTAAAAAAAAAGCTTAATATTTAAGGATAATGTTTGGGGACAGTGATGGACACAGAGGAAGACTGATTATGTGTACAGTAAAATATGTCTGTGTTTATTTAGCCATTTGGATCATTGTTCAGCTTAGAGAATCTGTGATGACCAATTTTTCATTTTCGGAATCCACCCAGTCTAACAGGGCAGGAATAAGAGGAGACAAAAGCCCACAGCATCACTGATCCTCAACTGTACAGTGGACAAGAAGTTCTGATATCATACTAGTAGTAGTTATCAAAGTGGTTAAAAAACAGAAAAAAAATATTGCTTTTCCTATTTTCGTTTTGTCCTGAAGGTCCAGTTGTACCTAAAACAAAAATGGGAAAATAGACAAAATAAACCATTTAAATTTAAATGATTTTACATGAACGATTATGGTACCCTTTTTCTTCTGATCTTCCCCTTCTGAGACGTCTAGATTATCGTGATAGCTCTTAAAGGAATAGTACACCCAAAACATGTTTAGCCTTCATTTTCTACTCACCCCCATGCTGAACAACACTCTGGAGTACTTTTTTGATATCTCAAATGCATCTGGAGATCTGGGAGGCTTCTTGCATTTGAGATATCAAAAAAGTACTC